TACAAAGTGCACATTTGTTCACCACAAATGGCACTAATTCTGTCCTCTACAAGAATATCACTGACCTTGTGAGTTGATGTCAAATGCATTGTGTTCCCTTGTTTACAACCTACCCCACTACCGGGGTTGGTTGTAACACATGTTGGGCTAACTTGTAACAATAAGACAAAATAAGCAAAAATAGATGCCACTATATGACATGCTTCAAAAACAATATTGAAATAAAAGAACAGAACAATGTTTCTCTCTCACTGTAATAGACTACATCTGATGTACATTTGTCTATAGAATAAACTTACTTAAAAGTATACTTAAAAACTATTAGTACAATGTACATAATTAAATAACATACTTGTACATCCTTAGGTCTACCAAAAAAGAGGAGTATGTCTGTGTGTATGTTCTTATACACAGTACCAGCACTTCTATATTTTATTCTTTGGCGTACCGGGACTTTTTCTTGCGCATTGGCGCAAGTTGCCTGTACACTTCTCTGCCCTCTCCACCGGCAGAGATGGAGTATGGAAATATAGCCAATACACCAACATGTGAATGGGAGGTACTGGTCACAGAGCTGACAAATGAATGCTGGTAACCATGGAGTGCAGGCTTGGTGAGCCCAGATAGTGCAAAGGGCACATTGTAAAATATTAAAATCAAGGAAGTCCCTAGTTGTATGTATAGGAGATGGTTGTAACACTTATTAAACCCGTCAGCCATTGTTTAGCTAGCTGTATTAGCATAGTGGTTTGAAACTGGAAAGGAAACAATGCATCACATGTTGCCTAAGAAACTACGTTTTAATTTAATATAAGTCAAACAATTTTATCTGCAATGCTAAACATAGTCTTGGTCAAAAAATGTACTTACCTCAAAATCTGTTTTTTCTCTAAATATTCTGAATGTACCTGTTTCGAGACTTGACAAACAACATGTCTCGTCGGGGAGGAAGTATAAATACTGAAATGATCACCTAACTCCTATCTTATCTCTAATTGTTGTTACAACTCTTTCCCATGTTACAACCATACCCGGTCTCCCCTACATAAAAAGAAGAAATCACCAGGATTTAGTTGAATAATTACCACTCTTTTCCATGATACAAGGTTAAATACATGTATATCTTGAATAAAATAAAATCTGTTACTAAAATCATGAAACACGATACACTGAAACATTTGATGGAGATTAAACACTACAAGTCTTAAATGTTCTTGTCATTGCTATAAATGACATGTACTTGTACTATTCTTTGATGTAAGATTTTTTTTTGAGTCAGCTGTGAAAATCACTTGAGGTAAATGACTTCCCTTGCTTTAAATTGTTTCCTGTTACGTTTATCTTAATACTTAATTGTGACTTAAGTGTTTTAAAGCCCTCTCCACATTAAAAAAAATACTGATTCCCTTTATTCTTTGCTTGGAAACAGTCAATCTATCACAGACTGTCTGAATCAGCCTGAATCAGCCCCAACATATGCATTTACCATATGTGTCATTGTATAATGTAAACTCCTCAGGTCATTAAAATGTCACTGTCCTGATCGTAGTTATGGTCCTTTGGGAACAGCTGCTGTCCTTTTGCCAGCCATGATCATCCACTTATCAGTACAAAAGATAATTTTAGCTGGCTAACACTAAGTCACCCTTGATTAATTAAGCAACATTCAAAGAACGGGGCCCCAGATAAGTTTGTATAAACATAATTATAATACTTCAAATCAGAAAGTCATGACAACTTTTAACAGAAGGGTCTTGATTTGTTTCATGAAGTTTTCCCCATAAATAGGTTATTTAACATGAGTAAATCTCAGTGAAACAGAAAAACAAGTGCAAGTTTCCATGTCATTTATTCCTGGTTTGTTTTTTGTACATGAAGCTGCAATAAAACCAACATATCTAAAAATGACATATGAATGAAGAGAGACCATACCCAAACACTGAATGGCCGGCTGACTTTACAAAAGCTTCAGATAAAAGCAAAAGCCGTCTGATGGCGATCGAAGGGAAACAGAATCAGGTTAATCACTGACTAGACAATAATAAAAAAAAGCCATTGCACTCCTACTTCCCCTGAGGTTCCCAGACAGACGGTTAACATTTTTAAAAGGCACTTAACAAGGGATTGCATGATGTATCAGTGCATATCAAACTTAAAATTCCACTTCTTCAAAGATATTTCTCAATAACAGACCTGATCTGTAGATATTCTCTTAATATACGAAGAAGGCCTAAACAGTATCTGCTGTATATTATAGACTTTTATATGTAAAGTACAGTAGACCACATGGGCCTGTAAACTGTGTCGGCTTGATGAAGAAAACTGGTTAAGACCTGGCCAAGAAATATAGCAATATGTTTTCCCCGTATAACATTTACATCCAGAAACATCTGCTTGGGCATAAAATGACCTTTGGTTTGTCTGTGCTTCTGAAGAACATACTGCACATGAAGAGAGAATCCACCAAAAATCTAAGTTGTTGCAATGTGTTATTATCATAATATTGGACTGTTCAATTTAGGAATAAAATCCCTGCGCATACACATTGATAATGATCGTCATCCACATTTGTTCCACTGATTATGAATGGAAAGCAAACTCAAAAGTCTGTGAGGTTGTCTGTTTATCTCAAAATAAGATTAATTAAGATTATTTAATTGCAACACTGATGATTTCAAAACCGTAAATATACTTTTCCACTCAATAAAAGCTCCGTAAAAAGTGTCACGTGATAAGAAGGTTGTCTTGAAGAACATTTCTGCTTTTAGGTGGATTCTTACTTTAAAAAACAAAAAGGTTTAAGAACTGATACACAATCTATTTTAATTACATATTCCAAACTGTTGCATATACTATGATGAAGGATTGCACATACATACTATTATAGATCTATAGAGTATATAACATTTAACATTCTAGTATAAAATATAGTCCTAGGCCTATCAATAGATATCTTTTCATATACATTCGGGTAAAGTGTAGGCTGGGCTGGATCTTGTATGAAAGCAATATTTAAATACAGTCAAACACAGAGTCTCTGTGGCTGGTCGATGCTTTGACAGATTAACTGGTTGTTTCTACACAGCAAACACTCTCCTTTCTCTGAGTCTAAGTCAGCTTTATTTAAAGCTGATGGAAAACAAATGCACAGATGCGCACAGAGCTAAATGTCACCACTGGCATTATGTCCACCTATCAGTTGCATGCGTTTTCGTTGAGACTTTTCCCATTTATTTGAAAAAATAAAATTCTGATTGTGTGCAAGGACACGGAATCAAGACACAAAACAATAAATCTGTATTTCAAATTTAAGATTAGGGCTGAATGATTATTTGCATTTGCGATATTATTGCGATGTAATAAAACGAGATTTTCTAATCGCAAAGGCTGCGATTACACTCTGGTCACATGACATCCAAGCGGAAAGCAGTCTGCAGACGAAGCTAATACTTTGTCTGCACGTTACGCTGTACCTTGCCTTCTTGTTGTACAATGGCCTTATGCCACATTCAGACCAAACGCGAATTGTCTCCTCGCGTGAGTTCATTCGCTGCAAGTGTTCACACACAAGGCAAGAAGGCGATTTTAACGCGATAACATGAATAAAAACAACTTGCTATTACTACAGCTGTATGAACCCAAAGTAAACATTTTGCTGTGATTAAATAGCAATAAATGGATTAAACTGATGCCTTAATAACTACAACATGATGCAGATTTGTTAAACATATGAATTCTTATCTATCATTTGGTTTTATTTTCATTGAAAGATGGACTCCTAAGAGATTTGAACTAAGATAAGGACGCATTAATTGGTGGTTGAACTGTGGGTTTTGTATTGAGTGCTTACTGTATAACACACTGTGGTGAGTTAGTTTTTCATGTGGTCTGTAGGTAGGCCGACCTTATAATATTATATCATATTATCTTTATCATATTATTATAATTTGATATATCTTCCCCACCATTGCTCATAATAATAATTCTACCTAATTCATCATAACACAAGAAAGAACAGTGTAGTTCTATCTAATATTGTGTATACACTGATTTACTGCTTGTCCATTTTGAATAATACAGAAGGTAAAGAGCTTAAAAATTAAATCGCATATTAAATCGCAATCACAATATTGGTAAAAAAAAAACGCAATTAGCATTATTTTCCAAAATCGTTCAGCCCTACTTAAGATACTGTTCGTCATCATGTCAATATCGTGTCAGTTTTATGTAATTTGTATTTGTGGAAGCACAAATATTTCATTTAGACAAAGCACTGTCTGAGAAATCGGCATTTTGTCAGAAATGGTTAAGTTCCAATTGGTTTCGACTCAGAACAGCCTGTACTTTACTGTGAAGGGTCTGATATCCGATGTCCTGCTGCTGGCCAACAGTTTGTTCATCAACAAGATGACTTCTGTTTTAGTATTACAACATTTGTGATGGATTTGTCAAAACAAGCTTTTGTGCTTTCTTGTGCAAACACAATATTGACTGTACCATTACAATAAACCCTGGAACATGGCTACTTTATGTGAGTCTGAGAAGAATTACTTGAAAACAGCAAAATTCTGCTAACAAGCTACCATTAGCAGCTATTCTAGCTACCTTTAGCAAATAAAACCAATACCAATTATATATTATACCCTGGTAGCCATATAGAGGAAAAGAGACATTTCAGTGGTCCTGTTGGTACTGGCTGTTTCTTAAAGTGCATATTCAACTTGGTGTAAATATTATTTATGTGATTATGTCATCTTTCGAATTATTGTAATGGTGGTGTCAGTTTTTGATTCACAACATTTCTGCTGTTTTCTGCATTGAGCATTTGACATTAGATTGTTTTGCACAGTTGATGAGGTTGAGCTGGCACAGGATGCACTGGGAAATTGAATGTGATATAATGAAATTAAATTGTTCACATTCTCATTACATCAGAACTGTAGGATTTAGGTTGAAAATTGGTAAAGTCAAACTTTGCTTAGAAAAAGTAAAAAAATAACAACGTGTTAAGCATAACTTTAGTCAGATCTCTAGCCAAGTCTGATAATGTTGGTAGAACTGGGTTGCGTGAGTAAGTGGAGTTAAGACCTGTGATTTTCTGTGTTGCTGCTCTTCTGGATCTCTCAGCGGTCCTGTGCACTCATTCTGGTGTTTGAAACAAGTCTGGGGTGACAAAAAGCAAACAAATAAACAACATGAAAATACACAACATCAGAGCTGTGTGGTTCAGATTATGCAAACTGTAGTGGAACATAGAACAATTACAGTTACAACAACTGTAAAATAATGCCTCTGTTGTCATACAACATCATTTAGGCAAATGCATTACTTGACGATGGAGTAAACTAAGCTGCCTAATTGTAAAATTGCCTCACAAGGCAAACTGCTACCAGACCTCAGACTAGGGGTAGTCAGATATGTGTAGACCTGCCTGTTGCTGTGTTGGGTCCTGGTTTCCATGAAAATCACGTCTCTCTCTCTTTCTTGACGGTGACGTCCCCACTTCCAGCTGCAGCTCCACTGGCAGATCCACCCCCGGCCCCAGATGCACCTGCAGCTCCAGACCCGGGCCCAGCTCCAGATGCAGCAGCCGACGCAGCTCCTGCTCCAGCTGTGCCCAGTATGGTGGAGACCTCTCCCTGCATGAAGGCCCAAGGGGGGCTATTGAGAGAGTTATCCAACGGACAGCGATCTCCACTGGGACAGTACACCTCCCCATCACCTCTCCGGCTCTGGATGTACACTCTGGTGCAGGGGAAGCAGAACCTGAATTTGGTGGAGGTAGAGAAGACAGGTTATTACAACTTTCAGTGAGAAGTAAATAAACTAGTACTTATTTCAGTCTGTAAAATGTAAAAAATTACCAGAGTCTGACGTACGGGCTTAAATTACTTACTTGCTCAGACTAAAAGCCGAACAAACAAAGCATTTTATTTATGAAAACATAAAGAAAGAAACTCTTTGTGAAGGTGTAACGAGGCAATGCTCAAACAACATTCAAACTAATCCACAAATTGTTGCAGGCTATTCGCTATACAATGCCACCACAGACAAAAACACAGCACGAATACAAACCTATGTCCTTGCACTGATGGACACTGAACAAAGTGTGTGTCTTCCAGCCTCTCATGACACAAGGTGCAGGACAGAGTGTTTCCAGTTGAATGGGCGTTGGCGGCAGATGCTGATCCCAGCTCAGAGGCGCCACTGTGGGGTAATGCTGCAGCTGTGGTGGCCGCCTCTGCTGAGCTGCTGGACCCCAGGGGCTCCCCACCAGACCTCGCGGCTAGAGGGCGTGGCTGCCTAGCCGGGGATGAGGCAGGCTTGGGGCTCGTCTGGCTCACACCTCCAGCCATAGAGGAGGATGAAGAAGGGAGGCCTGTACTCTTGCTGCTGCTGCTGCTGCCAGCCCCAGCAGTGTGGACCTGCGTCTGGATCTTCGGCTGGTTCTGGGACGAACTGAGCTCTCGCTCCAGCTCTGGAGTGATAAACGGGGCAATCCCCATCCCTATACCCAGCTGTCTGCGGTTCATCTCAGCCAGCACCGGGGCAGGGAAAATCATGGGGTTGGTCATGGGGGCTGTCCTGGCGGTCAGACCCGCTGGCATGCCCGCAAGTAGCCCATGGGGAATCCCTGCAATACTTTGAGTTACTAGACTAGGCGGGATGGCAGCACCTATCATGGGTCTCCGGCTGCTGCTGGGGCTCTGACGGTTCACTTCTTGAGGCGGCTGGCCCTCACGGTGTAACCCGTTCGGCGGCACCCGAATAGTTGACCCGGTACTTTCTCCTCTTGCACCTCTGTCAAAGCGGTCGTTATGCGGCCTGCTTCCATCTGCCACCGCATCACCTCTGCCTGATGTGCCGTGTTTATTTGGAGAGGGACCAGGTGACCTGACGCTGCCGTCCTGCATCCCGTGAGTTCGTTTCAGCTGTCGGGCGCTCGCAATCAGGAATTCAATCTGATTAGCTCCCTCGTAGTTCACACAGCCGCGACAGACCACTTCGCTGAAGTCCCACACCACAGTCCACGGCATCTTTGGCAGGTCGCACAGGTAGCACCACTGGCGCCTGGAGGAGGAGGAGGGGGAAGACATGGCTGGCTAGCAAGCTAGCGAACCTGAGCGGAGTCAACGAGCCAGCTAGCTTGCTAACGCGCTAGCACGCGTTAGCTGTGTTAACCTATTTATCTTTGACAGGTGCACGCCCTCTCTTTGCTAACGACTTTCTACTTTAACGGGCTTCAGACCGCTTCAGAAGAATGTTACATATTCTACAAATATAAAATCAGATACAACTTTTAGGTTATTAGGCTCTTTTTTTTCATATGTTTGTTTTGTTTACCCACGTCGGCCTGCTGTTGAAGTTTGCTGCTGTCAACTGCTTCCCAGACGGACGCTGGGACGTTACGTAACCTCCGTAGATGCATTATGGGTGATTGATTTTTCTTACCTTGTTTTATCAATGCAAACCAACTCACCGTGGCTGATTTTGGAACTACAACCAAACTGGCACGGAAGTGAAGTAATTAAAGGTCACAGTTCATTTGGTGTCAACACATGTGCGTCCTCCGTAGCCATGCTTTTTGAGATATAAAACGTTTAATTTTAGTTATTTGTGGTTATCTTTACATATAAAAATGCCAAGAGACATATCGCCCTCATCAAGCGAAGACGAAGCTGACAATAACACTACAAAATCACCCGTAAAGCAAAAAGACTCCGGTAAGTTCGCACGCGTTGGATGCACAAAGGTGGTGGTAGTTTGCTGATGGTAATAGTTCAGTTAGACCAGCTTCATAAAGGCAGTTTCACTTACAGTGCAAGCAAGTAATAATACGCAATACAGTATGTTGTGACTGCCGTAGCAGAAAGAAATATTGTCATGTGTTAGACTAGATAACCTAACGTTATATTATAAGTAAATTGCAGTCTTGTTCTGACTCAATATGGTCTGCATTTGACAAAGTTTTGGCTTCTTGTCTTTGTTTCATCCAATATTTAAGCCAAGAAGCAATAACAATAAAAGCGCACCAGTTTAAGATGTGGTTCATACAATAACTATTTGGCACCATAGAAAATCTTTTACAGAGGATACACACACAAGCAAGGTGATATTGATATTCGATTTTTATGTTCTTACACAGGGCTGTTGTCTGTATTTCAAATGCTCTTTGTTATTTTATTGATGAAATGATGAAAGTGTCCTCCACAGATAAGAAGACCACCAGGTACCAGTGTCCTGCTGACTTTGTGTCTTTCTGCCATAAGCCTTGCAGCAGCACTCTTACAGAGAGTCTGAAGAACAACAAGGATGAGTTATGGCTCATTAAAGCGCCAGCCAACTTTAATCCAGAATGGTGGGTACAGTCTGTTTCCTGATCTCTGCATGCATAGTCAAATGTACGAGAACTTAATCAGAAATGTATTTTCTGAAAGGCACAAAAAAAAACTTAACTGCTTCCAAATATTATCTGAGTAATAAACTTGTTTTAATGCCATAGCAAAGGTTTGCATTACTAACCCAGTCCTAAAACGTGCAGGTTAACTGGTGACTCTAAATTGCCCGTAGATGTGAATGGTTGTTTGTTTATGTGTCAGTGCAGGGTGTACCCCGCCTCTCTTACCCAATGCCAGGTTGTATTTGCGCCAGCCCTACACCACCCTGCAAAGGCTAAACGGTTCTAGAAAATGGATGGAATAATATTAGTAATATTTGCCATCATAAGCTATTGGTCATACCAGACCAGAAGTAAATATGGCAAAAGTCCTGAGTGTATTGAATTAGTAATGGTGCATGTTATTGCACCATTATTTTTTTCTAAAGTTACATAGTCTCACTTGAAAAAATCTCTGCAGCATATTATGTGGTATTATAAAATACTTAAGACAGACTCGCATGAATTAACTGATAGGGTAGTGTGTGTGTCTGTTGGAGCCAGCAGGTGGAGCTGGAGACGGGCTTTGTGCTGAAATTCAATAGCAGTCTGAGAAAATGAAATGATTGTCACCCCAGACTTGTATATCTTAAGTTGTGTAAACTTGTGACAATGATGCCTAAACCAACCTCTCCTCCTTTCATTCAGTTTCAGTGGCATCAAGGTACCACTGTCAGGTCTCCAGACCCTGAAGGTTCCTGCTGCTGCAGGTGCAGCCAAGACAGTGAATGGCCAGCAGATCTACAGCATATTGGCATCCACCCACGGTACCTCAGAGCTCTGCTTGCTCACCAGTGACAAGCAGTCATCCGATGATGTGGTTTTTGGCCCCACTTTTTCAGGCCTGCTAAATGTGTGTGAGAGCTATGGAGACAGCAGCGCCAACCAGGCACCCCAGGTCATCCCTGCTGCTCCAGCACCCTCCATACCGCCGGGGCTGAAACAGCGATTCCACCCCTTCGGCAGTAAGACCCCCACGCTGACCTGCGTGGCAGAGAGTGAGGTGGATGGAGCCGCCTTTGGGCCATCATCTACAACTCTCCGCCCCCTGGTAGTCAAACGATTCATAGAAGAAACATGGCAGAAGGACGAAGAGGAGGAAGGCAGGAAAAAGAAGAAGAAAAAGAAGAAGGAAAAGCGAATAAAGACAGAGCAAGACGAGGAGGTGGAGAAGCTGGTGAGAGTGAAAGTGGAACCTGTAGGTGAAAATCAAGATGAAGTTATGATGGAGCTCCCCTTTGAGGGGGAAGACATTTTGGAGGAGAAGAGGAAGAAGAAGAAGAAAAAGAAGGACAGGGAGCGAGAGGAGGTGGAGGAGGGCGTGGAGCCCAGTGCGAGGGTGAAGGAGGAAGCAGTAATAGTGAAATGTGAACCAATAGACACTTTGTATGGGGATGTAGGGGAGGGCTCGGGGAAAAAGAAGAAAAAGAAGAAGAAAAGCAAAACTGATGACGACTAGTATGTTGTGATTTTGATGGGTTTTGTTCCTTTGTTTATTTTTGACCTTATGAACCCGACTTGGAGCCAATTTACTAATCAATCTTAATAATAGATTGCATAATACAAGGCTGTCTTTGGCAGGACATTGCATTCAGAAAAAAAGAACACATCCTGGATCAATTGACTAGTGACACGAATTATGAAGTGGATTCATTGCAGCATCTTTAAGGCCAATGTTCCTATAATTTTGAGCTCAGAAAGTGACAGTTTTACACACAAAGAATGTATGTAGCCACAGGCATCTATGAGTACATGGGTAGTAAGAGTGTACATAGGGGGAATTTCTGCCAGTGTCTGTCAAATTGCGGGAGACTTTATGGGATTAAGCTCACACTGTGTTGCTATGCTTGTGTACATATTTACACAACTGCACTGGTGACGTCTCTGGTTTGGCATCAGGATCAGAAATCCAGAGGTGATATAAAGACAGAATAATGGTTCATTGTCACATAATGTTATTATTTTTTGAGAATTTGAGTCACGTATTGGAGAATTTATTTGTCTGCAGGAAAACACATGTTACAAAATCAATTCCAAAAGTGATTAAAGGAAATTAAATGAAAATGCTTGTTCATGTTTTTATCTGGCTGCTGCAAGTGTTCCAGTACAGCACAACATTTTCCTCTCGTGCCTTGTTAGAGCAGTGAATCATCCAGAAGGAATGAAACCCGTACTTGTGTTGTAACTCGGCATTTGAATTGTGCAACAGTGCACAATTAGCAGTACAGATCTGTTATTTTCAAATTATCGGGAAAAGAAATATGTTTTTAGTGGAAGTTGTAATTTGGGAAGGAACGCAAATTGAACGGCGAAGTAGTGTAGTTGGCAATGCACTCCTATGAAATGTATTGACAGTAGCTTCAGTTTGCACTTTGTTTGCACATTAAAATCAGTGAAGTTATTGATCAAATAGATCCAGTGCAGAGTTTCATGATGATCTTTATGATCTTCTCAGTGGCTTCAACTGCCATGACTCAAACTATGCAGGAAACTTTATGGCTATAATCCGTTGGCATGTTAAAAGTCATATTTAAACCATACTGCCTGTCGGTGATAAATTTTGGCATCATAATATAGTGGTTGATCCCAAGTCTATAAATCTCTAGAAATCCAATGCCAGTAGAAATTCCTTTCAATTAAATGCAACAGAGAAATAAGCAGTCGTGACAGGGAGATGGCGCCACACTCCAGCCAGTTTCCTATGTGGAGGATCAGCCTGCAGCCTCTGAACAACCTCTGATCTTATTTACATACTACCATTTATTTCCACTAATGTAACACAGATCTTCTGTTGCTGTCCAGGTACACACAAAGAAAAGATTTATAATTTTCTGATGGTAGCGAATCCTCAAATCTCACTGACACTGAGGTGAAAAATCTCAGTCCAGGCTCTGCATCCTCCCCTCCTCCCTCCACTGCTTCCCTCTCCTTGCTCTGCACCAGAGTATGGTCCTGTTTCTTAATGAGCTCAGGCACCTCTGGCGCTATCACGCTCTCACCATCTGTAGTAACCCTCTGCACATGCTGCAAGGCTATATTGATCCAGCCTCATGTGTGCATTCACATTTTTTGTTGTTTACAAGCTTTACTCCTAATGGGTCAGCTGGACCCAAAGTGAACAAAACCATGTTAGAGTTAAAAAATTAAACCTTAACATACCAAAGAGAATTGTTAAAACAGTCTTCTACTCACTGAAAAGGATTTGGCTTACCATCATGTCATCAAATTTTTGGGTTAGCAGGCAGCCATTACAGCAGAGAGCCACAGATGTCAGATGTCGGATCAAGCGTTTCTCTGTGAGTCACGTCTAATGCCAGACTTCTGTGTATCCTCACAGGTATGTTGAATGTGTGTGTCTGCTTCAGTGCTAGAGTCTGCAGGCTTGAGTGCATATGTCTGTGTAACTGAAAGAGAGGGAAAGAGAGAGAGAATGTGTGTAACTGGCTGAGCGTTAAGTCAGTGAAATGAAAAATTTTGACTCTGTTGACTAAATCCCCTTAACAAACTTACTTTAAATACAAAATTTTTAACGTGACAATTATTTTCCTTCCTTGAAAATTTTATCAGTGCCAGTTATTTCATGTCAAACCAGTAAGAACAATTCGCAATTCCTCTCTGTGATTTCCCATTGGCTTCCCACTTTTGAATGATCCAGTTCTGTGTTATGCCTCATAGTCTGCATAAAAAACACCACCATGTTCATCTGAACCAGTTCCAGACCTGGCCTGACCCAATACATAGTCTACACACACACACACACACACAGATAAAACTGCTAAATTTATTACTTAAGCTCAACCAAAACAACCAATATAACCTAAGCTAAGCTGAACAGATGTGTAATAGTAAACAGCTTAAATTCAACAAATAGACAATAATCATCAGTAATCTTTTTCCACATAAAATTGTTACCAACAAGCTTACATGTAATTTTTTTTCCTACCCGTTACACAAATAAATTGGTGATACAATATAATATTTTCCTCCAGACCGCTCTTTTTTATTTTTGTCTCTGTACATGTAATGAATTGGAGTCATAAAGCTGTTGGGTAACTTGGCTCAAGTTGAAGCATTTTCAACAGGCATGAGACTGGCACACACTGACTGATTTGCGGCCCTTAATAGTGTAAACAGACTAATGTTTCCAAACTGCTGTGTCTTCATCTAAGTCAAAATGGGGCGTCTTTGACTATATTTGTGCTACTCTGAGTGATTTCACTTGAGTTTTTGCATCATTCTACCTTTAAAAGTTGCCTTACGTTCAGTCTGAACAGACCTTTATTCACTTGGCTTCACTACTCAGCCAATCATAGTTGCTGGTCGGTCTTACAGCACCCAGTTTCGTTAGGAAATACATTAAATTAAATTAGACTGATACTTTGAAAATAATTAAATTTTAAATGTAGCTGCCTTTGTCAACCTATTGACATCTAGCCAGATCAACAACCCTGACAAAACACACAGTTCTGGCACTGAGTCTGAGCTTATTTCACAATAGAAGTGAATAAATTTGCCAGTCATAGCAGAAATTCAACAAAAATGTCAAGTGAAGGGCTAATATGGTATTGCTTTGTCACTTCGTTTTAGTCTCGAGAATGAGAGCCTTTTTTATACACCTGTTTAAATAATCACTGAAGTACTGGTATTCATTAATAACTTAATCAACTCCCTGCAGACTACAATATATAATGGCCAATATGCAGTATGTAGGGCAGTAAAGGCCTCCCTTGCTCCTGTAGAATACTGAATGAGCTGGTTGGCCAGGTCTGTAGCGGAATGACATTTATATATCTTGTTATGCAGTTTCTGCCATTTTCTGGGTCTTTCATTGTGGTTGCATCATTAGTCTGACTGTGTGTGTGTGTGTGTGTGTGTGTGTGTGTGTGTGTGTAGCAATGTGGTCAAGAAGACGCATCAGTTTCTCATCTAATTTTTGTCACATTTGGAGTTGACTATCAAATTTCATCTGAAATTCCCAGGAGGATGCAGTCACAGAATTTAAATCTTCCTCAATATAGACATTCCTTCTCTCCCTCTTTGCTGCACACAGAAGCTCTGACTGGGTCCTCATTTACACCTTCTTCACTACATTTTCCAAGGAACAAAAAAATAACTGGATCCTTTTTAGAGAAGCAAGATAATGACCAGTAGGTTCAAATTCACTCACATACTGGTGTGTTTGTGTGTGTGTGTGTGTGTGTGTGTGGGGGGGGTCTCTTGTTTCCTTAACAATATCTGCTGAAGTGCCATTAAGCGTTAAAGGTTCAGTAGGTAACTTTTATAAAAGTAACTTTTTGGCTTATTTGCTGAAACTGTCACTATATCCTGACAGTGGTGCGTGAGCTATGTAAAACAAAATATATTAAAAAATTGTCTGGTTCATTTGGCTTCTTCTACTGCTCCTAAAGCCATTTGCAAGAATCCACCAACCGAATCAAAAAAACCAATCAGAGCCAGGAGCAGTCTCTTATGCAGTGTCAGTATGCATGCTCTCACTCAGTCAAGCTCAATATCTTCAGCTTGTGGCTTCATAAGTTTTGCAAAAACAATGACTGAGAATGGAAAAAACACCTAAAATAACATACCCAAAATGAATCAGGTATAAGTCGTCCACCATTACACCTAAATGCATATTTCTTCATATTTGAGAGGCCAGAAGCTAAGGAATATGAATCCCTTTTAAGAAACTTATTTATGTTACCATTTCAGAGTAAATGGCGATGCAATAAAGGAAAAGATGAGATTTGCATCCCCGCTGTTACGTTCAGCCGGCTGGGCTGAATTATTTGTGGAATAATCCACAAGAAACTAAAAAGGAGACTAAGAAGAAGATATACATTATTAATGTAATATATATCCAAGCAGTTGGGGGGCTTCAGGGGCTTGCTCGAGGCCTCCTTCAGCAGTGCCCAGGAGGTGAAATGGCACACCGCACCGCTGGTCCGAGCTCGATTTGAACCGGCGACTAGAGACTAAACTATTAGTGCACAGAGACTCCTGTAGAAACAAGCTCACAACAACCACATAATGAACTGGCAACCCCTGAAAGACAGACAACCACTTAAATACACAAGTGAGGGGAGAAATTAATTACACACAGGTGACTCTACTCAGATAATCAGAGACAAGCACAGGAAGTAAAACATGACAAGAGAAACTAGGGCAGACTAACTTCAAACTAAAACAGGAAATAAAGCTAACTGAAATACACAAGGAGCAATGTAACAAAATGAAACCTAACACAAACATCATGAGTGACTTGCTGACAAAACCTACAGAAGCAAGGAACATAGAGACAGTAAAACAAGACTAAAATTCAAAGGCAGTATCACCATTATAACCAGCAGAAAATAGAGTCAGCAACTGAATGTCTTGTCCTACTCCTTGACTACAACTGTAGCCTATCTGTAAATTAGACGAAAAGAAACAAAAATACACCAGTTAGGCTTCAATTTATAAAGATTTTGTTTTGACCATATTTACTGTTTACATGTTAACTGCACTGGGAGTTATGGTGCGTTCCATTTGACATGGGAAGTCGGAATTTCCGAGTTCAAAGTCGGACATTTCAAAGGAGTCGGATTTCCGACTTGGGAAGTTGGGAGAACCGCACTACCCCGACTTTGTGATCCAAGATGGCTTCTCTGAGTATAAACAGTTAGTGAAAGCTGTAGTTTATACTGTTTATTAGCACTTCCGTGTACTTGTGTCTCATATAAATTTTCGTACACAAAGTGCTGCTCAACTGCTGTCTGTGGACATGTTGCTACAGTGTTTAGTATGAGTAAATACCTCTGCGTTAATGCAGAGTAACAATAGCTAACCTGGCTAGTTGTAAACAATGGCTGGCCGAGCAAGGTTTTCCGACTTGTTAACTGGAATGCCATCAACTCATATGTGATGTCATTCCCAGCTCCGACCTCTGACTTCCGAGGTAAATGGAACACACCGTTATACTTGAAAACGCAAAATTTCCGTACAACCATGTTACAAATAATATAAATATACCCCAGAACATTGAAATATTAGTAAAGACTTTGAATACCGATCAATATTCCTGCGAC